CTATGGAGATTTGCATGGCCGCGAAAGTTGGACCATAAGAAATGCTGAGCGCCAAAGAATTGAGGCCTTTGAACTATGGTGCTGATCAGCTGGAGAAGTCTTCTGTGAGTCCCTTGGACTCCAAGGCGATCCAGCCGATCAGTCCTAGAGGAGATCAACCCTGATTGCTCTTTAGAAGGCCAGATCCTGAAGATGAAACTCAAATACTTTGGCCACCTAATGAGAAGGAAGGACTCACTGGAGAAGAGCCTAATGCTGGGAAAGATTTAGGGCAAAAGAAGAAGGGGATGACAGAGAATGAGGTGGCTGGATGGAGTCACCAAAGCAGTAGGTGTGAGCTTAAATGGACTCCAGAGGATGGTAGAGGACAGGAAGGCCTGGAGGAACGTTATCCATGGGGTCGTGATGGGTCAGACATGACTTTGTAACTAACAATACTAAGAACACACTAGATATGGTATTTGTAACCTTCTCTTAACTATACTTCCTTTACCTCAGGCTTGGAAAAAAATACTTGGCTGCTGAATGGGGATGCATCTTTCCATACTGGATGTCTTTCAATCTCCAGCTTGTTAAAAATCACTTGAATTCTGACTGGGATGAACCTTACTCTTTAATTGCTTACAAGTCTAAAAATTTCAACTGTACAAGGAAGAAAATGCCATGGACAATTTGTGCAACGGCAAAAATCTTTGACAATTATATTTCTTAAAGAGCCAAACCAGCAGCAAGGCATCCCAAAACTGGAAAATGAAAAGTAGTAATGCAACATTAGGAGGAATCTAAAAGTATTTTCCCATTTTTAAAGGAATCTTAGCTTTCCAATTATTCAAATAACAATTATCATCACAAACCTTCAAGTTATATTATACAATCAACTATTCCTTTGCAAAGATTTGCTTGTGAGAGTATTTTATTTATTTGTATCTTATCCATTTTTTCTAAAATTGACAATATTTCTTGTGGACAGCAGTGAGTTTTAAGCAATCTTTTCTAGAGAATTTAATAAGAGATGCACAGTCATTAAAGAATACATATACTATACATAAACAATGTAGTGTATTATAGCCATAGTATATTACAAAAGCTGGCAAATAGAGTAAATAAAATGCTAGCAGTACACATTCTTTCATATATTAATGCACTTAGTGTTGTTTGTCAAATTGTTTACAACAGATGTAGGAAAATGGGGAAAACATTCCACCTTTTTATGGTAATGCAAATCACAATATTTGGTGTAGAATATTAGGTTGTAAATAATCTCCATGCCAATGAATCAAAGTCCTTCATTTTAATTTATTTCAAATCAAATTGAGATGATAAATGAGCTAGTAGGAATAATAAATGGGTTGTAAATAAGATCCTCCTCTTCTTTTTCTTTTTTGCTACCCTTTGTCTTTAATTTATGCTACTTTTACATTTTCATTTAATATGAAAATTAAGGTCCATTCGGCCTAGCAGCCCACTGTAATTGTTGCCTATTTATATTTAAACCCATTTGGGCCTCCCTTTATTTACCATTTCCATTTAAACTCAGAATGTATCTTTCTATTAGATATTTACTTAGGCCATTCAGTAAATTGATTTCTTTTGTTCCTTTCCACAATTCTCCAGATAAACAAATTAATGAGGTTGAACCTTTCTATCTCCATTCATGTTATTTTCACATCAATTTTGTGTAATGTATGAAAGTCTCCATGTATTAACAAAAAAGTTTAAATTTGATTCATTACAGAGGGGGTAGCTTTGGATCCAGAATCTTAGAAGCTACATAGTGTAGAAATAAGAATAATAAATAACTACCATTCAATTTTGATCTGCTTTTATTAAATGTTGATTAACCATTGATTTGACAAAAGAAATGAGGTTTTTTTATGAAGGAGATTATGTTTTACCTGATGGGGAAGCAATGTTTGTTTTTTTCCATCTCATGCTTCTGAAAAATCAGGTATGAGGATTATTTCCCTCCCAAAAATGGAATATTCCCCTGTTCAGTCCTTAAATGTGTTGCATTACAACTGTCAATATTTTTTCTGGTTGACTCAGTTTTTTAAAAAATCTGAAAAAAATACGATAAGACAGAGGTAGCAGGAAACATAAACTCGTCATTCAGAAAACATTGTTATGGTAGTTTCCAAATTAAACATGAATAGAACAAGTATGTCAATCAATCATACCTAATTTAGAGAAGAAGGAAGGAAGGAAGGAAGGAAGGAAGGAAGGAAGGAAGGAAGGAAGGAAGAAAGAAAGGAAGGAAATAGATTGGAAAACAGAAACTCTATATCTATATACTCCCATTTCAAATGAAGTTCTGCTTTTTTATGTATTTGTACAATTCCTTCACTTTACCAACTTTACCCTTATATACGCATACATAACTTGCTGAATTGTATGAATTTAAATCTTCAATTTTCCCAGCTTGACCTAGATAGGAGGATATTAAGGTTTTATGTTTAGAAATGAAAGGGCTTAACATTTTCAGAAACCTGGTAAGTTGCCTGAACTGACTAAGCAAACATCAAGGTTTTAGATGAACATTTGCTGAAGCTGCCTTCCTGATTCTTAAAGGCTACCAATACATTTTGCAGATGTTTCAGCCTGTTTTTGAGCAGAGCCTCATTCTTACAACTCGTCGGCGGTGTGTGTGTGTCAGGAATTATCTTTGGAACCAAGGTGAGGAAGGCAAGAAGAAGCATCCTTAAACAGCAATATAAAATAGCACTGAGCCAAATGCATTTCAGATGTAAAACATTTCCACATGGTTTGCTGTGTGCTGCATCACAGCGATTTAACCAGCTTCAGCCAGGTGCTATATTTGTGCTCCTGCATTCTCTGAAGAAGTTATTTTGAATCAAATCCAACCTGCTACCCAACCATATTTTATTTTAAACACAGGCAGTGCAGTGAGTACTGTGGCATGCAGAGTCACTCTATTAGGAACATTATTTTTATCCATTACTTATCACTGTGGAACTAGTGTGTGGCACTAGCAAATTGAGGGGGGAACAGTGGTGGGTTGCAGGTGGTACACCCCAGTACGGGTGTACCAGAGCCTGCCCAGAGCACCAGGTACCGTTCTGGTACAGTGCTCCGGAGAGCCCGCCTGCCCCCGTCCCTTACCTGTCTTTAAAGCCTTTGGCACTTCTGCGCATGCACATGGCACATACAGTCCCTGCACGACGCTCCGCCGAGCAGCTGGAGCATCGCAGAGACTTACGGAGGCATCGCTGAAAGGTAAGATGCATGTGTGCACCGTGCACGTTCATGTGGAGGACTCCGGGCCCCGTTGCAACCGTACCAGTTGCAACGGGATCCGGAACCCACCACTGGGGGGCGGGAACTGCCTGTGGAAAAGATGGAGAAAGGGTAAGCTGCATTGTTGACTGTGTCTGGGAAACGAAAAGTCGAACAAACCCCATTTCTAGGCAAGAGGACTGATCTGGAGCAACTGCATCCCAGTTATAAAGCTGCTATGAATAAATTAATTATTTTATTGTTATTATTGTTTCTTTTTATAGGGGAAGTAACAAGACTGCCTTCTTGATAATAATAAAGGCAAGCAAAGGCATTGAGATTTTCAGGGAGCTCTGTTTGCTTATCTCACTGATGAGGGATATGGATCTTTGATTGCCCATTTCAAGGGGAGGGAAAAGAGAGAGAGAGAGAGAAAAAAAATTGTCTCAGTGACATAATATAGTATTTTTTCCCTATGGGAAAAAATCCAGTAAAACTTTAAGGAGATATGAAATTAAAAGCTCCCTTTTCTCATTATTACTGTTTCAACCTTAAATATGTGTCCAATTATGTGAAGTATGGTTTTTCAAGTTGCAATGTATGGCTGTGAAAGTTGGACCATAAGAAAGGCTGAGCGTCAAAGAATTGAGGCCTTTGAACTATGGTGCTGGAGAAAACTCCTACGAGTCCCTTGGATCGCAAGGCGATCAAATCGGTCAGTCCTAGGGGAGATCACCCCTGACTGCTCTTTAGAAGGCCAGATCCTGAAGATGAAACTCAAATATTTTGGCCACCTAATGAGAAGGAAGGACTCACTGGAGAAGAGCCTAATGCTGGGAAACATTGAGGGCAAAAGAAGAAAGGGATGACAGAGAATGAGGTGGCTGGATGGAGTCACTGAAGCAGTAGGCGTGAGCTTAAATGTACTCCAGAGGATGGTAGAGGACAGGAAGGCCTGGAGAAACGTTATCCATGGGGTCGCAATGGATCAACATGACTCATCGTGACACAACTAACGCCACAACTAACAACACAAGTAACAACAACAATGTGAAGTACTCTCCATTAAATTTCAACTGTACCTTCTCAGTGGAAAGAATGACTCCATAGTGTAATCAGGTAATCGCTGAAAAGAAAAGAAGAAATAAATGAGAAACAACATCCAGTAACCTTCTTTCTGGGTTTTTCTTTATTTTTTTTTAACTGCATTTGAATTTTTTTAAAAAAAAATATTTTACTCCTTCTTTTCAAGGGGAGTAAAAAAAAACCTTGAAAGTGCAGGATTTTAATTTGGTTCAGAATTAATCTACAGTCTTCCCTTGTGCAACTAAATCCTAAGAGAAAATAAGGTTGGGAGACTTCTTCATAAGACTTTTTCCAATTAGGAAGCATAAAAAGTGAAGAGATGTGCAACTAGGGAAGTCAACAGCTCTCCCCATCATATCATAACAATGAAGGTAAGCCCAAGACACTAACACAATGTCAACAGTACTCATCAATGAGGCAGAGAAATATCAGCTTCTTTTACAGGGGAAAGAAAATTTTCAGGAAATTGGAAGTCAGAATTTGGCACCGTTCATTGCAATTTTGCCCCTAGGAATTGAAGCTCAGAGGGCATAATAATTAAATATTTTATTAATTATTAATGAATTCAATTCCTCCCCTCCTTAAAAACATTTGAGTGCTCTTATTATTCAGAAATTTGTGTAGCTTACCCTCTGGCACATGAGCCGAAATGGTATAAGTGAAAGTCACTCGGGTGTAATTCAGCCAGTTTTTAAATGGGCTGACTTTCGAGATGAGCTTGGAGGACCAATATCCAAAGCTCATTAAATAAATGTACCAGAAGATACGATATATTTCCCACAGCCATCACTCATCAAATAAACTCTACATCAGTAGAGTAGCCTCCCACTAGATTTGTGAAGGTCAATAAAAGATGACCTTCAACAAAACAGATGAAACAAATATCAGAGTCATACAGTCCTACACAAGGAATTTCATTTGCTTTCTGGCCTACCTCAAAGCAGAAGCCAACTTCCGACTTTAATTAGTGCAAAAGGTAGCAGTGGCAAAGGGAAAACATAGCTTAATTCCCATGGCTTAACTACTCTATAAATTGTGGGGCAGTATACATTTTGACACGTTTTGTTTCAAAAGAAGCATCTCCAGATCTCAGCCAAACACACACTTCTCTCTGTTATTCATTAATACAAATTGGTTTTGCCAATTGTCTCACCCTGAAAGAAGAGTGTTGTTGCTTTCATCTATTTAATTTAAGCTCTATTATTCTGAAGCTGGCTTGAAACTGATTTGAGCAATGGGGATTTCCCTAAACATTTTTAGAGCTTTCCTCAAAGAACCTGGAAATCTAGGATCATGAAACTTTTACATATTTTTGCTAGCTTTAAGGAACAAATTGCCAGTAACTTTTGAACACAATCTTAATTAAGAGTTCTTTTTTTCCTGTAAACATTCATTATGTTATTATATAGCAATACCAATACAATATGTAGGTAGTCCTTGACTTATGAGCACAATAAGGACTAGAAGATTAAGAGTTGTGGTCATCAAACAAGGCATCACATGACCACACTTGTTTTTGACTATTATTAATATGGCCATTATGCAATTCTCCCATGGTCGTTAAGTGAGACCTCACATAACCATGACTTATGGCTCCCTGATAATATCCCCATTGACTTTGTTTGTCAGAAGCTAACTGGGAAGGTCACAAATGATGATTACATGACTGCAAAATGTTGTAAATGTGTGATGGTCACAAAAAAACCAAACGACAATCATAAAAACTGCACGGATGCTGCAACAGTCATAAGTGTGAGGACAGTCAGAAGTCACTTTTTTCCAAAGCTGTCATAATTTTGAATGGTCCCCAAACAATTGGGCATTAAGTAAGGACTATTTGTATAACAATCAAAAATACACTTATAGAACCAAAATTGCACAAGAATGTATAGTCTACGTATTTATAATGAAACCTAGTAATAAAGATGGAATCATAGCCATGAATCCTTATTATGCTTTTTAATAGCAGATAAACAAAGGAGGAAGATAACAGTCTACATCAAGGCTGGGTTATATCTTATAGTAATCACTGGTGGGTTCCTGACCTGTATCATTTGCAGCGGGGCCAGGTCCTCCACATGAACGTGTGCATACACGTGCAGCACACATGCATGCTTCTGACCCTCCAGCGACACCTTTGCGAGCCTCTGTGACGCTCCAGCTGCTCAGTGGAGCATTGCGCAGGCACTGTACACACCATGCGCGTGCACAAAAGTGCCGAAGCACCAAAGACTTGAAAAACAAGTAAGGACAATGGGTGCTA